ATGTGCAATTCTGATCTATTACAAGCTCAACACCATTTATTTGCAGCTTCCCCCAGATGGTTTTAATAACAAGAAAGCAGTTATGGTTTCAATACTTAAAGCCGAACTCTGGGTAAAAAATGTTGTCCCATGAAGTGGGGATGTGCTCTCACAGCATGGGTTAACTACTCATTTGTGTCTAGGGGTAAGGAGAGAGGAGATACAGTGGGTATAAACTGTAACCGCATCCAATCCATATGACGTGAAAAAACATTGCTTACTATGGTGTCTGCTCACATATGTCCGGTGCACTGGCGGTGCAGATTCAGTGTGGTTTGAAAAAGAGTCAAGTACGATTTCTGAGCAGCGCCTTCAGATTCAGGTGCAGATTACAGGCTATGGACTTCTATGGGAATCGTTAGTAATCCACATATGTGTGAACAGAAGATCCTGAGCTAATCCTGTCCAGAACCGAATGTAAACCTAACATGAACTGCTGAACAACTACTGTGAAACCTGAACTTAAATCCGCACTTCACATGTGTGAATCAGCATTGACCAGAACACCTTTTTCCATGTGGCCTCAGAATCTTCAAGGTGCATTTTGGCAAAGCTCCGTCATGGCTGCATGTGGCCTTTCTTGAGGAGTGACTTTTTTCTTGCAACCCTCCCATACAAGCCACATTTGTAGAGAATTTGTGATATTGTTGTCACATGCACACAATGACCACTCTTTGTCATAAAATCCTGCAACTGCTTCAGAGTTGCTGTAGGCCTCTTGGTAGTCTCGCTGACCAATTTATTTCTGGATCTTTCATCCAGTTTGGAGCAACATCCTGATCCAGGGAGGGTCTGTGTTGTACCAAATACCTTCCACTTCTTAATAATAGACTTCACTGTGCTTCTAGGCATTGATAAAGCATTTTAATTTTTTTGTATCCATCTCCTGACTGACTTGTGCTTGTCCACAACTTTATCCTGAAGATCTTTTGACTGCGCCTTGCCACCCATAGTTCATTGTTTGCTTCAGTTGCACTATCATGGACTGAAATACTCCAAGAAAGTGCTTTTTATGCTGAGCTAACCAAAATGAGCGCAGCTTATCGCAGTTTGAAAGTCAAATTGTTTTGTTTGCCATTAAGAAGGTGATTAGCTACACCTGATTGAGTTTTTTTTAGGAGGGCGGTGATCCTTTTTTGAATTCAGCTATTCTGTTTTTGAATTTTTAAAACATTTTTCCGACATGTTGGTGTTTTATCTTTCACTTGGATGTTATAAGTTGCACTGAGTAAATACAGCTGGATAAAACAAAAACTGTGTCTTTATTTCAACCTACCAAGCAACAACATGTCATTATTTTAAAGGAGGGGGGTGATTCTTTTCTGTACCACTGTATACTTACATAATCTGCTGATCCTCCCAGTACAAGACTATTGCCTGCTGCTCCTGCCCCCTGCGGTTTAGCAATCTTTCACAGTGTACAGTTCCTGACTTCATCACGCCCATATACCAGCTCTGAACTTCAGGAAGGGTCCACCATTGGACATAGGGGAGCATTGTTTTCCAGAGGATCAAAGGATTGGGTGAGCATAAGCTCTGTGTTCACCCTAGACAAAACAATCTTACCCAAGCAGTGCGGGCACAGCTCCACTGCATGGGACAAAAAAAAAAAAAAAAAAAAAAAATCTTCCTGGAGTTCTGCTTTAACTCCTCCACAGTTCTGCCCCTGCAGTAATTCCTTTCCACCACTAGGTGTCATTCTTATGAGTTAAATACCATCCAGTATCCTGGAAGACTGTGGACATCCTGTAAATGCAATCAGTCATTTATTTATTTATTTTATTTCAGGTACTTATATAGCGCCGTCAATTTATGCAGCACTTTACATATATATTATACATTCACATCAGTCCCTAACCCTCAAGGGGTGTACAATCTAAAGGTCCCTAACTCACATTCATACATACACATACTAGGGACAATTTAGACAGGATCCAATTCACCTACCAGCATGTCTTTGGAGTGTAGGAGGAAACCAGAGTACCTGGAGGAAACCCACGCAGGCACAAGGAGAACATGCAAACTCCAGGCAGGTGGTGCCGTGGGTGGGATTTGAACCAACGACTCTAGTACTGCCAGGCAGAAGTGCTAACCATTTAGCCACTGTGCTGCCCATAGTCAAGGGCCCACAGTGAGTCCAGCAATCACAAAACTATGATGTCGAGAGCAGTGCAGATGTCTCATCACATTAGCGCTGCTCTCTCCATCATCCATTGCTGGAGATCCAAAGGGGAAGGGGACCCTGCATTTTACACGACCAGCCTGCAGACAAAAAAAAAAAAAAATAGTATGATAAAAGGGTAATTTCAGTTCTGTTGAATCGTTCTCCTCAGAATTTTTTTTGCTAGGAAAAAATGAATTACAGTCAATGAAAAGCCTGTGCCGCTGAAATTTCAAGTGATTTTAAGCTCAGCTACCTTTTTGCAGCGTTTGGAGTTAGCAACAGAATTGCCAGCTTCAGTAGTTCTTTATGTTATCCAAAGCAGCTGCTGATAATCATGACACCCCAGTGATTTGTAGGTGCATAGATAAGCAATGTAGATAGCTACAGCAGCTAGCTTCAAGTCACCAGGGAAAATAAGCAGAGAGATTTGTAACTGCTACAACACTGCTAGTATGGCATGGCCCTAGAAAACCAACCCACATGGAAGAAAAACATATTTGAAATATATTTTAACATTTATTTGAAATGCTACAATTTTGGCCAATATATATATATATATATATATATATATATATATATACACACACACACACACACACACACACACACACACATACATATACACACACACGCACACATATATATATACTGCATGTTGGAATGCGTTTTTATTACAAACTATATGAAAAATATTTTTCTAAAAAATATTTCAAATATACTGTATGTCTTTAAAAATACAAATCTACATTTTTGGAATGCATTTGCAAATATATGAAAAATATATGTTAAAATGACTTTTTTTATATGTTAAAAAAATCTGAAGAATATATTTTTAAAAAAATTACATTTTTTTAAAATATATTCTTCAGGTTTTAACATATAAGACAGAAAACGTTATGTTAAAATGGTAGCAAGTATACAAGCAAAAAACCCACTGTCAGCATGTCCAGCAGCAGCGGTGTTTCGGCAGAAAAAAAAAAAAGCTCAATTCTCATAAAGGCACCTAAACAGATATAAACGCATCTAAACGCATGTAACCCTAGGAGGATTCAGCGCTTGAGCGGTAATTCAATTCAATGGCCAAAATAATATTATTGTTCTGGCCAGTGAAATGAATTACCACTTAAGAGCTGGATACAACTAAATGCATTATATGCGTATGCAGGCATTGCCAGGAGGAAAGGTGTCTATTAGAGATAAAACATCTAGTGTGCAGGAGGCCTAAATACTCATAGTTTTGAATAATTCCCACTGTGACTGACTTACTTGCTGGACAACAAAGTGGGATATCAAGTTATCACAGAACGGTATTGATTCTGAGTCAACATTCACAACCCTTGACTTATGAAACAAGTGTGCAAAGGTCTGCTAGCAAAAACAAAAGGAGAAAAGGCCTGAAGTACTTTATGCAAACATCATGTTGTGTCTCAAAATTTTCACTGTAAGGGACATTCATAATATTTTTTTGCTCTTTTTCCAAATATTGCACCATGGGTGAAAATCATTCCAAGTTCCTATTCTTTGTGGCGAAATGTTTGCAAATGCACTTCCCGTTTTGTGAATGTTTTGTGTCAAATCTGTCTGCCTGTTTTCACACATTTGTTGTAAGTGTTACATAAACGACTGCTGCAGAATTACCGTATTTTTCACTCCATAAGACGCGCCTAGGTTTTAGAGGAGAAAAACAAGGAAAAGAATATTCTGAACCAAAGGACTGCAGACGCAGTACAGGAGATGACCAGAGACTGCGGACACAGTACAGGAGATGACCAGAGACTGCGGACACAGTACAGGGGATGACCAGAGACTGCAGACACAGTACACAGGGAGATGACCAGAGACTGCGACATAGTACAGGAGATGACCAGAGACTGCGGACACAGTACAGGGGATGACCAGAGACTGCGGACATAGTACAGGAGATGACCAGAGACTGCGGACACAGTACAGGAGATGACCAGAGACTGCGGACACAGTACAGGAGATGACCAGAGACTGCGGACACAGTACAGGGAATGACCAGAGACTGCGGACACAGTACAGGAGATGACCAGAGACTGCAGACACAGTACAGGAGATGACCAGAGACTGCGGACACAGTACAGGAGATGACCAGAGACTGCGGACACAGTACAGGACAGTACAGATGACAGCAGAGACTGCGGACACAGTACAGGAGATGACCAGAGACTGCGGACACAGTACAGGGAATGACCAGAGACTGCGGACACAGTACAGGAGATGACCAGAGACTGCGGACACAGTACAGGAGATGACCAGAGACTGCGGACATAGTACAGGGGATGACCAGAGACTGCAGACACAGTACAGGAGATGACCAGAGACTGCAGACATAGTACAGGAGATGACCAGAGACTGCAGACACAGTACAGGAGATGACCAGAGACTGCAGGACACAGTAGACAGTACAGAGATGACCAGAGACTGCGACACAGTACAGGAGATGACCAGAGACTGCGGACACAGTACAGGAGATGACCAGAGACTGCGGACACAGTACAGGAGATGACCAGAGACTGCAGACACAGTACAGGAGATGACCAGAGACTGCGGACACAGTACAGGAGATGACCAGAGAGACTGCGGAGACCACAGTACAGGAGATGACCAGAGACTGCGGTACAGGAGATGACCAGTACAGGAGATGCAGACCAGTACAGGAGCTGACCAGAGACTGCAGGTACAGTACGGGGGATGACCAGAGACTGCAGACAGTACAGGGGATGATCAAGAGGCTGCAGACAATACAGGTGATGACCAGAGACTGCAGACAATACAGGGGATGACCAGAGACTGCAGACAATACAGGGGATGACCAGAGACTGCAGACAAGACTACAGGGGATGACCAGACTGCAGACAGTGCAGACAGTACAGGGGGATGACCAGAGACTGCAGACAGTACAGGGGATGACCAGAGACTGCAGACAGTACAGGGGACCATGACCAGGGGATGACTGCAGACAGTACAGGGGATGACCAGAGACTGCAGACAGTACAGGGACAGTACAGGGACCAGAGACTGCAGACAGTACAGGGGATGACCAGAGACTGCAGACAGTACAGGGGATGACCAGAGACTGCAGACAGTACAGGGGATACCAGAGACTGCAGACAGTACAGGGGATGACCAGAGACTGCAGACAGTACAGGGGATGACCAGAGACTGCGGACAGTACAGGGATGACCAGAGACTGCGGACAATATAGGGGATGACCAGAGACTGCAGACAATACAGGGGATGACCAGAGACTGCAGACAGTACAGGGATAACCAAGAGACTGCGGACCTTTGGGGAGGGAGGGGGTACCTGAATTTAACAGGTACCCGCTCCCACTTCCGTGGAGTTGTCCTCCCTTTAGTGTGGACACCCGGCTGTGACAGCCCACTGCACTTTGTGAATGGCCCGGTGTCTTTTGGGACCTGTAATTTGTCCCAGAAGATGCCGGACCATTCACAAAGCTCAGCGCTTCTTGCACATTCACAGTGGGCACCCGGCTGTCACAGATGCTGGTGCGGGAAGACTGTACAGCGCTGGACTGAGGAACAGGTAAGGCACTGCTGCAGAGAAGAGCTGAGTGGCCGGCCCGGTATTCTGACACGGTGGCGGAAATACCAGACCGGCCTCTCCATATTTTCTCCATAAGCCGCACTGACATTTTCCTCCCTTTTTTGGGGGGGAAAAAGTGCGTCGTATGGAGCGAAAAATACAGTAAATCAGTGATCTGTTGCAAGTCTCGTGGACACTGTGGATCATTTTTCAAACCTGCACAATCTAAAAATGACTACTTAAATGTATTTATTTAGGAGAGCTATAATTTTGGTAAATCTGTCATACCTTTGCTTAAAGCGACAAATCAAATACAAAGCAATACAACATTATGATGAATCACATTTCTACAACAGATCAGCAAACAGATGCATTAGCTGTGACTTTATTGATAAATGTCCCCCTGCAATTTATACTGGCAAAACACGAGAAATCTTTTGGTCTTAGGCCAGGATCACACTGTTGTGCTGCGGTTTGGGAGCAGGATAATTATGTGCATTTTACATGCCGTTTTAGGTGCGCTCCCATTGACTTCTATTAGACCATATGTTTTCATGAAATTGCATGGAAGTCCTGCATGCTGCATCTTTGATGCACTTTCAGAAAATACACAATCTAACAGTTAATGGCAGCTCCTGACATTCACATGTAAAATGTGAATACAATCACGCTGCCAATCCAAACCGCAGCGCACTGGTGCGAACCCAGCCTAAGGGTTCATGTACACTGCAGCTAATAAACTCATGTTTAGGAGCTGTTCAGCGTTTTTTTCAGCAGCCCCCAAACTCTCCCTAATGTTTTCCTATGTGTCCATGTACACTGTCATTTACAGGCAGTTAAATTAGTCATTTATTTGAATGCAGAAAACGTGCGCTCAGGAGTAGATTTTATCAGCGTTTCAAACACCAAACGCTTGTAAATGCGGCTAACCATATTTCTAAGCGTTCGCGGTTGAAATTTTTTTTTAACTCTTCCATTTCCAGGTGCTGTCCAGAGCCTTTTTTCATCATGAACAATACATGCAAAGCATTTTTCCAGTACTAAAATGGACCTGGTACACCATATGTTGAGGTTTTGCATGAAAGAAAATATGTTAGACACTGCTGCAATAATTTCTGCACAAAATGAGCTGGAACACATTCAAACACCAAAAAAAAAAAAAAAAAGACAGCTAATCTCAACAAATACTGCTCTCTCTGCTTCTGTTCTCTCGATTTCTCTCAAAATGTCTGAAATAGTTCATTTTTTACTGTTTTTCAGTGCATTCTGGGCGGTCTCCTAAGGTTATCTTTAAAAAAAAACGCTTCTAAAAGCAAACGCTCATAAACACAATATGCAAATGCTGCTAAACAGATGTTTTTTAACCTACGTTTTCCAGCAGTCAGTTTCCATCGTTCAGAAGTGTCCCGTGTACATGGAGCCTAAGACAAATTCCTGTCCATTCTTCAGAGTCCACAAAAACAAACACCAGTGTGTAAAACTTCAGTTACATATACAGAGTTCAGATTTAAAATGCTGGTAAAGCCACATGTTGACAAATTGCTTACAGGGAGGGCATTTATGATAGAAGAGACTATATTGGTCTCCTCTGTCATAAAAGCTTCCTCCTGCCTGTCAGCTGTCATGTACGTTGAGCCGCGCATGAGAAGCGCCCAGTGTACATTTATGGCCCCCGATCTGTGTCGTGGGAATGTGACTCCAGCACGCATATGCGGCGGAAGTGACATCACTGCGGTCCAACCATTCAAGCAGCTGAAGACATGAAACCTGGAAGGAAGACTGGGTGAAGATGAAAGTACCTGGGGCCTGTCAGAACAATCACATTGCAGAGCGGGAGGGTTTCTTTGACAGTTAGGTCTGCCATAATGTGCTAATATGCTGTGCATACTAGCACATTATGGCATATACCTGCAGAAGGGCTCTAAAAAAAAAAAAAAAATACCGGACTTAACTTCCGCTTTAGAGTTGAACTCCAGAAAAAACGTCTAAATACACAGTTAAAACATATATGGGAGCATATTTACACAGCTCTGCCTCAAAGCAAAGCCATATCAGGCATTGCAAAAGACCTAATGTTTCTCTACTATTATTCTCTATCAATCACTTACAGGTCTTGTCCCTCCCCTAGCTTGTGAATAGACCGTGAAAGGAGAAGCAGCAAACTGAAGATCCCATCTGTCACTGTCTCTCCTTCTATCAGCAGGTTCCTTGTAAGAACCTAAGCTCTGCTGCACAACTGACCACTCTTTGTGTTGCTTCTCCCTCCCCTAGTCTGTATTTGCTTTCCATGCACTGCCAGAGGCTAATGCCAGGTCAAAAATAAGGTACATACCATGCCTGTATTAAAAAAATAAATATAATACATGTAACAAAATATTAATAAATACAGAGGTGTATTAATTTTTTGTCGATTTGGACCTGCTTGGAGTTCAGCTTTAACATACGCCCCTATAAAATACCTGCATATTGAAACTATCATTTGAGACATCCTAAGTAACAAAGTCCAGCATGCCAACTAATTATAACGTAAATATACTAAAGTGCTTATTTCAACTGTTTTAATGTGGTTTATTATACCAGCCAATCCACGGCCAGGATTATGCTGTAAACCATCACTGGGCAACCTGCCACAGCATTTCAATTTTAGGCTTTCTTGTATTCTAAATGTATTATACTCAAATTGAAGTTTCATTCCATTAGATATTAAATTCAAAATGTGGCCTGTAAACAGAAATCTAAACTATTCATTTCTGGCTTTTACTGCTATTTGGAGTGTCCTGTAAAAAATATATGAAAACATTTTCCGAGTTCTCCCTTTCTTGTAAATGGACACGTGACAAAATAGTTCCCACGTTGTCTTTTTTCCAGTTTGAATTGCGGTGACCTTTAAACAACAAATAATGCGTTGCCAGCAGAGGCGAGGAGGAATGCTCACCCAGCACTGCCACATCAGCAACAGCTGTGCTCACTTCCACTTATCTCTACTGCACCAATAGCAGCTCATGTCTGCCACAATCCACGCTGTAGTTACATTTTCCATATGATCAAGAAGGGGAACTTTCTATAGAAAAACGTATTGATTTGGTTTTAAATTGGCATTTTAACACTGCTGCAAATGTATAAAATCATTTTAGAACATGTAAGCTGGAGTTTGATTGCCTATTAACCAGATAATCTTCTAATCAGGGGCACCCATCTTAATGTAATAAAAAAATAACAAAAAAACTAAAACAAAGGAATAACCCAAATCATATTTTGAAAGTTATATGAACCCAAGAACAAACAACTAATATATTAACTAGTGAATCGGATGACAGTTGGAAAAACGTCTGTTTCTATGGACAGTGTTCACCTATGTGTGGTTGATCTGCACTGTTTTTTAGAAAAGGGTCCCGATTTTAGATGACTGCGATGCGATTTTGTGTTATATACAGAGTTCTATTGGAATGGTCTGTGAACAATGGCTTTTTTGCTATGAATTGCAGGAAGGAGGTGAGATTGCAGTTGTATTCCTATGAAAAACGCATTACTGTTCATAGAAAAACGCATCTGATTCGCACTGCTGATGCATACTCCAAAACTAAGCGATTTTTATATGTGTGAACCTAGGCTCATAAAGTACGAAAAATACCAATCAGGTGTTCTCTGACTGGACAAGGTGGGGAAGTGATGTCACTGTCTCCATCTCCTCCGATCAGAGAATACACTGAATTTCAATTAAAAAAAAGCTGGCACCTAGTTACTGATCATTCAACAAAATGTTATTTATATTCAGCTAAAATCCAGTCATAAATTAACTTGCAAGACATTTGACCTGTGTGACCCCAGTCCATATTGAGTAAAAGCAAGAGGTAGCTACATTCTTACATACAGTGGGAGATCACAAGTCAGACCACAACAGCAAAAATAAATTAATTGATTGATTAATGAGTGAATGAATGTAATTAATTATTTAAAAAAAAAAGATTTGGAGGAGGCTGAGAAAAGGTACGTTTTGAGTTACGAATAAAAACTTGAAATTATTTTCTTTTAAAAAACAGAGTTTAGTGTAACTTAAGTAATAGCTACATTTATTGATGAAAGATGCAAGGCAATGTGTGAATGGAAGCTGTGCCGAACATGCTGCTACTACCTGTGAGGGGGGCCTAGAAGACAGCAGCAATAACCGTAGTAGTGGTGACTGTTACAGTGATTCTCTGGGCAAATAGGTATGGCATATGCAAGCTAATAAATAACCAATTTAATCTTTGCAAGACATTGTCCCGTCTTTTATCGACAGGTACAGGAAAATATACTGCCAGAAATCCAGTTTGTACCTAATTTCCTGTATTAAACGGACAATGCTACACGCAAACCTCAGTGTTCCCTGTCCTGCCCAATTCACCACTGTAAAACTAGAGAACACCTCCCTGAAACGTTATGGAGATGAATCAGGAAATAGTCTGTAGTTTTAAAACATTGTCTTAGTGTGCCAATGCTGCGTCTCCATACAATTCAGTGAGTTAGCGTTGTCACCTTAGGAAATGAAGCGCTTTACTGGCAAAATCACTGGGAAATACATAGGGAAAAGAAATGAACTCGCTCAGCCAACACATCCAAAGGAATGGTAAGTTGCAATATACAAAAGGTTTGTTTTTCAGGTTCAGATACATTTTGAGTACTGATAATGCAAAGTATATCACATGATCTACTGAGCACCCTAAAAGAAAAAAAAAAAAAACACATTGGAAAGAATGAGCTCTAAAGCCTTTTATGTTTACACTGCCATATGATGAGTTTACTGCAATGCCTTACAACCTCAAGGTTTAATGTAACAGATAATAAGGATTTAGGATATCCATGTTTGAACGGCACAAGGTGACAATGCCAATCATGTACAAGGACACAGCTTATCTTCTTAAATCATAAAACCAATATAATCAAATGTTATGTACTTTAATATCTAGAATTTGGTAGCATAGGTAAGTTTGTCTGGAATTCATGTGAATCAATTAGGACAAATAAAAGGTGTAAAAAGTCAAGTACAATTCCTAG